ATATATACACACTATATGTATATATATATACATAATAGATATAAATTAGGTTTTACGTTTTTTTAAATTTATTTATTTATTTTTTAACACCATTGATTGTAATTTTACTGACTATTCTGTAAAATAAATGAATGCGTAACTGCTGTCATGCTTTACGAACTCGCTCAAATCTTGTGATTCAATGCTTGAGTATAAAAACAATCTATAGAGAGATAAACATATCAAAACTGTATGAGAAAATGTAACTTGTGTTCACAAATATGCAAATATTGGCAAATGCAATTCCATATACATATAACAGCTTCGTGCAGCTAATGTGTATTCGATTATTGTATATACACATATGTATATGTATATATGCATGCATATTTATTAATAGAATCTCGGCTTGTATGTTAATCTGTCTGCTTATAATACGAAACTTGATTCTGGGATTCTCCCTGCAGTGATTAGGCTTGGGGTCAGCTTAGCACATTTCTTTATATTAAATTGCGAGCCATCGCTTTAGTCATTTAGTACTTACTAAACATTAAGACAATATACAACATGCTTCTACGCTCGATGACGCTCGTTTTCTATGTCCTGGTGCTGGTTGTCCTGTGCCTGACGGTGGTCTACAGCAAGCCCGCCTGCAATGAGGGCTTCTATACCAAGAATGGAAATCTGATCTTGGATCTTCACAATTTGCAATCGCAATTCGATTGCGTGCAGCGGATGCATAGAGGCTAAGAGCAGCAAAATGTATAAATATATATGAATAACAGTATATATATACATAACAATATATTTGTGCAAAAAAAAAAAAAATATAAATAAATAAATAAAATAAATGTGAGAGATTTGTTTAAAAAAAGTGAGTTATTAAATGTGTAAACAAATAATAATAATTAAATTTGTTGACAGTCAACAGTAATCAGCTCATCTCTTGAAAAGTGCTTCTTTATGGCTTTAGCGACTTTTAAACCGTGCACTGACACAAATATTGCTTTATACAATTGTTTAGACTACTGTTGGATGTATTAATATGAGGGGATCTTCATTTTATTTTCACTAGCAGGAAGTTATTTAACCATAAATAGCAGGGTATCTCAAAGTGTGGCACTCCCATTTATTTATTTYATTATCTTTTTTATGCGCATTTGTAGGCTAAAAGAACGTAATGCATTGTGGCTGCTGCTGTCATTTTCTTGGCCATCTGCTGCTTCAGTAAATCGAATTTAACATTATCAATGCATTAAAAATATATATTTAAACGTATATGTATATGTATATGTATAAACCTAATGTAGAACACTCAATATGAATGTGCGTCTAATCTGTGAGACCAATCAAATAATTAGTGCTGACCAATCTATCTATTTATGCATGTTATACTCACATATAAATATATATAACTGCATATGTATGTCCATACAACACGTTATAAATCTATTTGTCAACACGCGTTACACAAACCAATGGACGGACAGACAGAGAGACAGAGACGGACAGGTCGGGGCAAACATTTAACTGACCCATAAACAGGGCATTGTCAACGGCGCGTATACGTGATATTATTTAAACACAACACGCGGCACCCGCACAATCGACCATTGAAAGGACGAYGATGACGACGACGACGTCGTATGGCAAATAGTGACAGAAAACAACAACATGCACATATATACACACTCCCACACACATATCTGTCCATATTTGCTGCGAAAACGCAACCAGGATGTGAGAGCCAACAGGCAACAATAATCAAACGAAGTTTGCTAAAAAAGGAACACAGTAAGAAGGCTGACAATCAAAATTTAAAATAATAAAAAGAAAAACAAATAAATAGATCAAAAAGAATGTGAAATAAAAATGGTAAAATAAATAGTATATAGTGTATAATATATTATGTTTATTATCTATTTACAAATCCGTAGACTAGATATGAAGAAAACAAATATGTCTTTTGGTCTATTTATTGATTTGACGTTTATAGAGTATAACAAATCGATTTATATTATTTATATAGTTATTCAGAGTTAAGGGTCTCTCTGAGTCGTGCACACCCGTGCACATCATACTCAATTCCTTCTGTAGCTTGTAGTCCCGTTTGCAGTCGTCACTTTAAACACTTTGCACACAAACAATTTGCACTCGTGTCGAACATGAGAAATAATGAAAAACGAAACGATTCGTGCGTGGCGCTGCCCTCAAATGCCACACACGCCCACACGCGTTCCATCATCATCATCGTCATCAGTWGCTGCAGCAGCACATCAGCAGCATTGCCATTATAAACATTATCATCATCATCATCATCATCGTCAGCATTATCATTATCATTATTATCATCATTGTAGTCGTGCGCTTCGGCACCTGCAGTTGGCCTTTGTCTCTCTTGGCGGCATTAAAATGCTAATTGCCTGTAAACATAAAGGTAACTGCACATACATCCTCACACTCACTCGCTCACACGCACACATACAGCCATACACACTTGCAGTTGCTTTTGCTGTTCAGTTCTTTTCTCCTCAGTGCTGTCACACGCAGCGTATGCGTAATTTTTGATGTGGTGGCCAACGTGGTGAATGCTGCTAATTCAATTTCTCGGCGCGCTATCAATATGCCCGTTATAGTTTAGCAACAGAGTGTTAGAGAGAGAGAGAGAGAGGGAGAGAGAGAGAGAGAGTGGAGAGCAACCGCAGTTACCCTCTCTTTCCCCTCACCCACACACGCTAATAGTTGCTGAGTGAATGAGTGTCGGAGCGAGAGGGAGAGAGCTTGCTGTCGCTGACAGGCTTTATTTGCGTTAAGTTCGAAGTTTAAATTGACTTTAAAATTGCATTTAATGGCCAATGCTTTTACAGTTTTTTTCCCATCATGCTCTATTCAGAAATAAAACAAAGAGGTATATAAGGCATGAACTCAGAAAATGTACCTTAAGTGGATTTAATTGATATTTTTATTTATTTCGTGTATTTTATTTATTTATTTATTTTTTTTGTTTTCTTAATTTTGTTTTTTGTTTTATATATTCTTCTTGACCTCAATTTTTATTTGATGTGTTTTCCTTTGCAGGGTATTTTACAGTCTTTAGTTTAATAATGTTATCTTTTTTCTTTGCTTTTCTGTTAAATGAGACGCCCTCTGTGGGCAGAACTCTCACTCAAACTCTCAGCCGCTTGTTGGCTGTCATTCTCTGACTCTGCTTCTCACAGCTTTCTGTTGCGTCTCGCTGCTGCTGCTCTGCTGCTTGGCTGCTCGTCATCATGCTTGTTGTTGTTGGTGTTGCTATCGTTGTTGCCGTTGTTGTTGTTGACTCCTTTGCTATAATGCCACTTGCACTTTGACGTTGACATTGTGGGAGGTTTGAGTGCGGACCAAAAAGGATTGAATATGTGTGTGTGTGTGTGACTCTCTCGCTAGCTCGTTCTTGTTGGGCTTCTCTATTGAGCTTGTATTGAAAAGCTCTTCTAGCTCGTCGCCTGCATTTCTTAAATAGAAACATGTAGAAAAAAGAAATGTCTTCACACTAAAAGCATTCGCTCGTCCGTCTCTTTCACTCCCTTCTGATAAGTTGACATTTGTCTCGCTGCAATTTTGATGTGTTTGTTGTTGATTTAAAATATGTACATACATATATATGAATGTATATGCAGGTACATGTGGGTGTGGACGTGGGCGTGGTTATGCTTGGACGTTTAAGTATCCCTCATGGTCCACTTGCCAGGCAAGCAGCCAGAAAATGTTGGCACATTCAAGTTTAATTGGCTTATTTTGTGTTTATTATATATAAATTGAACGATATTGCATTCGTCTATATATGTATGCGCATATGTGCATATATGCATGAAATATGTAAATGTAAGGCAATAATAAACAGGTACCATTGCAATGTAAGCTAACAGATCATATTGGAATGTAATGCAATGCTAGTTAATTTGAAGTTGAGGTGTAGAGCAATAAGCAAAGAGTGAAGTAGTGGGCGCAGTATGATATTAGCAGTGCCCTTCAAGCTAAACAGGTCAATAGAGAGCAGACTGAAATAAGAAATACAGTGAAGTAATTTAACAGCGCAATGTAAACTTAACATTTTAAGTTAATCCCATTTATCAGCATATGATTAACAGATTGAAATGCTCTTAAAATACCTGCCAGATTGAAAAAAATAAGTTTATAAATGAACTGAAAATAAGACATAACAGGTGAACTTTGCAATTCACCTTGGTCAAAATGAAAGCAGTGTGAAACTTATTTTCATTGTATAAGCTGGAAAAACCACAGCGCAAGTTGTCCAGACTTAAAGCAAACACACAAAAAATAAAAAGACAAAAATGGGGAGAAAAAGTAGAGAACTAGATAAGCATCCACATTGCTGGCAATGCATAAAAGCAGTCGCCACAGCCAAATGCGTTAATAATCCTTAAAGTAAACCACATCAACTGTGAATGTGAGAGATAGAGAGTGGAAGAGTGGTTGAGAGACGGAGAGCGGCAGAGACGAGAGTGTCTTTGTGGACGTGTGCAGTAGAGTCTGTAATAGTCGTTACACCAGGCAAACAGTCAGCCAGCGGGGGTGTCTTGCGACAGGTGTGCTGCCAGGTGTGGAGTTGATATTCGCTTGCCTGTCGTTCTTGCCATTCTGTCTGATTCTCTGCTTAACAACTGCAGTCAAAAGAGTCACAAGTCGCAGTGCACATTCTCCTTATTGCCCACTTCCCATTTACAGTCGAGTCCAATAAGTTGGCATAAGCTCTGCCAAAGACGCAAATATTTAACAAATCTTTGACTAAAGAAAAAAAAAATCAAATAAAATGTGGAAGCTAATATAAATTTCTTGAACAAGTTATTGCCTCAGCATTTGGCACATGCACTCAAACGGAAAATATATTGCTAAGCAACGAAGGGAATGTAAATATATGTACATATGTCCACTTATGTTTGACTGGCTGTATGTATGTATATAAAGAAAACATTTACAAATTTAAGTGAACTATAAAAACTGTACCTAAGGGTGAATTGACCCATATCTTATATATGTAGTTTGTTATTCAGGAAAGTAATTAAAGCAACGTTTGAATTAAAATTAAGAGAATTCTATATGAAAACTTAA